AATTTTTTTGTTGATTTTTGGACGGTTTTTTTTGTGGACCTTTTTTTATTTTCTTTGTTTGTGGCTTTTTGTTGGTTTTTGTCACTTTTTGTAGTAGCTTTTTTTTGTTTTGTTAATTTTTTGTCCTCTCGTTTTGTAGCTTTCTTGATGACTTTCTGTCGCCTTTTTTGTAGGTTTTTTATGACCTTTATTGTCGCCTTTCTTGACTTCCTTTATTTAGTGCGTGTTTTGGTCCTTGCTATAGTCTTCTTTTTCGGAATTTTTGCTGGCTTTGTGCACTTTTTTGTGACTTTTTGTCCCCTTTTTAAGTTCCTTTTTGGAGTCGTTTTTTTTTGCTGATTTTTTGACGCTTTTTTTGTGGACTTTTTTTACTTTCTTTGTTTGTGACTTTTTTCTTTTTTGTTGTTTTTTATGATTTGTTTTTTGTTTTGTTGATTTTTTGTACTCTCTTTTTGTAGTCTCTTTTTTGTAGTCTTTTTTGTGGACTTTCTGTCGCCGTTCTGTATGAGTTTTTGGTCCTTGTTATAGTCATTTTTGTCGAATTTTTGCTAGCTTTGTGCAGCTTTTTTGTGGCCTTTTTTGACATCCTTCTTTCAGTAGCTTTTTTGTCCCCTTTATTTTAAGTCACTTTTTGTCATCGCCTTTTTTTACGTTTTTTTTGTTGACCTTTTTTTACTTTCTTTGTTTGTGACTTTTTTGTGGCTTTTGTTGTTTTTTTGTCACTTTTTGTAGTCGCCCTTTTTTGTTTTGTTGATTTTTATGTCTAGTCTTTTTATAGCCTTTCTTGTGGACTTTTTTATGTTTTGATGACCGTTTTTGTCGTCATTTTTGACTACCTTCATTTAGTGCGTTTTTTGGTCCTTGTTATAATCTTTTTTTGTGTAATTTTTGCTAGCTTTCTGCAGTTTTTTTGTGATCTTTTTTGTCGCCCTTTTAAGTCCCTTTTTGGAGTTGATTCTTTGAGGCCTTTTTTATGAATTTTTTTTACCTTCTTTGTCTGTGACTTTTTTCTAGCTTTTTGTTGTTTTTTTTTTTCATTTTTTGTAGTTGCCTTTTTTGTTTTGTTGATTTTTTGTCTTCTCTTTTTGTAGTCTTTCTTGTGGACTTTCTGTTGCCTTATTTTTGTATGTTTTTATGATCTTTTTTGTCGCCTTGTTTTTGTGTAATTTTGCTGGCTTTATGCAGCTTTTTTAGTTTTTTTGTAACCTTTTTTGACATTTATGTTTCAGTAGCTTTTTTTGTCCCCTTTTTAAATAACTTTTTAAGTTACTTTTTGTAGTCGCCTTTTTTTTGTTGATTTTTTTTGACGGCTTTTTTGTGGACCTTTTTTTTACTTTTTTGTTTGTGACTTTTTTGTGGATTTTTGTTATTTTTTGTCACTGTTTGTAGTAGTCCTTTTTTTGTTAATTTATGTCCTCACTTTTTGGTGCACTTCTTTTGGGGTTTCTGTCGCTTTTTTTTGTATCTTTTTTGTGACCTTTTTGTCGCATTTTCTCACATTGTTCATCTAGTGTGTTTTTGGTTCTTGTTATGGTCTTTTTTGTGGAATTTTTCCTGGCTTTGTGCAGCTTTTTTGTGGCCTTTTTTGACATCCTTCTTTCAGTAGCTTTGTGTAGAAGCCTTTTTTTGTTGATTTTTTTGACGGTTTTTTTTGTGGACCCTTTGTTTTACTTTCTTTGTTTGTTTGTGACTTTTTTGTGCCTTTTTGTTGTTTTTTTTTCACTTTTTTGTGGCTTTTTGTTGTTTTTAGTCACTGTTTGTAGTAGTCCTTTTTTTGTTAATTTATGTCCTCTTTTTTCGGTGCATTTCTTTTGGGGTTTCTGTCGCCTTTTTTTGTATCTTTTTTTTTGACCTTTTTGTCGCCTTTTCTGACATCGTTCATTTAGTGCGTTTTTGGTTCTTGTTATAGTCTTTTTTGCGGAATTTTTGCTTGCTTTGTGCAAGTTTTTACTGACCTTTTTTTGACATCCTTCTTTCAGTAGCTTTTTTTGTAGTCGCTTTTTTTTATAGATTTTTTTTGACGGCTTTTTTTACGGACTTTTTTTTACTTTTTCGTTTTTGACTTTTTTGTGGATTTTTGTTATTTTTTGTCACTTTTTATAGTAACCTTTTTTTGTTGATGTTTTTGACGGCTTTTTTTGTGGACCTTTTTTTACTTTCTTTGTTTGTGACTTTTTTGTGGCATTTTGTTGTTTCTTTTTTTAACTTTTTTGTGGCTTTTTGTTGTTTTTTGTCACTGTTTGCAGTCGCCCTTTTTTGTTTTGTTGATTTTTTGTTCTCTCTTTTTGGTAGCCTTTCTTGTGGACTTTCTCTCACCTTTTCTGACTTCCTTCATTTAGTGCGTTTTTGGTTCTTGTTAGTCTTTTTTTGCGGAATTTTTGCTGGCTTTGTGCAGCTTTTTAGTGACCTTTTTTGAATTCCTTCTTTCAATAGCTTTTTTTGTCCCCTTTTTAAGTCACTTTTTGTAGTCGCCTTTTTTTTGTTGATTTTTTTTTGACGCCTGTTTTTTAGTAATTTTTGTAATGGCCCTTTTCTAATTTTTTAAGGATTATTTTGTGCTCTGTTTTCGTGTTTTATGGCATTTTTTGTTCTCTTTTTTGACTCCGTTCTGTCGGTCACATTTTTATGTGATTTTTAGTAGCTCGTTTGTTTTTTTTGGTTAATTGTCTGTGTTTATCCTTTCCTTATTTTTTTTTGTAGTAGCTTTTTTTGTAGTGTCCTTTTTTGACGCCCCTGTTTATATCGCATTTTTTGTGATGTTTTTGGCTCTTTTTTGGGGAATTTCTTGTCCTTGCTCACAAGTTGATGATCACAAAATTTTATTACAAAAACCTCACTTGAAACACACCCATAGCAAACTTCTTGACCCATTATTTAACAAGCCGCACCTGTTTTTGCTTAAGTTTAAAAAATTAAATTGGCATTTTGTTTCATTGTATTTGGGGGGCGAGGGAAGTTCTCTCTAAATAACTTTAACCCATTTTTTATAGACTAATAACTGTTGTAGAGTTGGATATCAGCAACTTTTTTTTTAATAAATCTGTCCAGCTTGTGAATGATTAATGAAACTTTACTTGCAGTTTATAGACATAAAAAAAACAGTATGTGTACTAAAGCTTTGATATAAATACTTAGTTAAAATGATAATAAAATGCACAACACACCTCTATAATTTATTAAAATATAGGACTAATGAATTTTAACACAAGTTTGTGTATCTATTTTGGTAGTTGTAATTTAAATGTTGTTGTTTTTAGTTTACTTACGTACTTACGATGTTGTTACGCTAACTAGCATTGACTTGCTAACTAGTACTTTTTTTATTTTTTTATTTTCTGTTGCATGTGACTTTCGCTCAAAAAAAATCATAAATCTGTTCCTATTTTCAAAAGTTTTCAGATGGGTAGTTAATTAGATTAAGAAAATTAAAAAAAGACGAACACTACAACGGATTTTTTTATGTTTCAGAAAACGCTGCATCCTTTCAAATATTTCCAACTGAAGTCGTCGTTGAGACAACTTGTACATGCAATACAACATCTATGCATAACATACAAATAAACGGCTGTTTATCAAAATTGTGTATAAAAACAACTACAGTTTAAAATAAAATCAACATCAAGAACTAGTCTCAAGTTCAGTTTTAATTGGAGCTCAACTTCCTTGACCTAAACCTTGCCCGGACAATCAAGGTGATTTACGTATAATTTTCCTTTATCCTCTACAAGTTGTCAGTTTTCTTAATTGCTCTGAAGTTAATGAAGCATTGAAGCATTCAAGCTCTTCCTAATCCGGCAGCGCTTTCTCCCCAACACTGCAGCGATTGTGGCCTTTCCGACTCATGGAAGTCCCATTACGAAAATGCAACCAAAACGCATCATTAGCTAGGTCAGAAAGGCCGTTGAAGGTTGTCTGCTCACGGACTCCCACCGAGTAGACAGAAGGCGTGTCTTATCGATTTTCCCGCGTCTTTCTCTTCTTCCCCTTCCTGCATACGTCGTAGATCGTGGAAGAAAGTTTAGAAGATCGAAAATCTCCGCGCTATATTCATAAACATTGCTTTTTATAGCTCGTCTGAGTAACGTTTCATTATAAATTACATTGTTTGGTCGATTCCCCCATAAAACCGACTCATTACTTTTAATGAAAAATTGACACTAAACAAAGTTTGACAAACTGCCGGGAAATTTTCCGCGGTAAAAAAATCCGTGGAATAATCCTCGGATTGGAACTCCCACAGAAATCAATCCGCACCATCACCAGCAAAAACAAAGCGAAACCGGAGAAAGGATCGCGCGTTGTTGGCAGTTGCGACCAGTGGAAATTTCCACTCGCGATATTTGATCGCTTGGAACGCAACCCATTTTTACCATTGATCGGGGCATCCCCTTTCACTCACAATCAAAAGTGGTCACCTGTCATTAACCTTACAGTTTCCGGTTGAATTAAACCAAACTATCCTGTCCGGACGGCCTTGGTCACCTTGGTGTGACATGTTTTAAAAATTCGAATTGGAGATCAAGAACAGGAGTTTGTTCAACCAGTGACGTAATATTTACATTCAGCTTTGAGAGAATTTGCAAATTAACCCTCTACCGGTATTGTGACAATGCGGCGCTTCCGCACTGTTTTGGGTCAACGTTCTGACCCTCAGACCCAAACAACCACCTCGGAAGAGTATCTCTGTCCTAGGAATACATAATGAAACTCGTGTTCTCACTAATGAATCATCGCTGGTATGCAATATGCATGTTTTTCGGATTTATAAAAATCGATAGCCAAGGACAGATTAAGAGATATTGTTCGTCGCAGTTTATTCGTCTTGGAACTGCCCCTCCTAACATGCGACATCGGAGTTATTGCTAGCTATTTATAGAGTCGGTTAGTCAACATGATGTATGAGCGACACTGTTTTATGAAGCCAGTACTTTTCCATTCGGGTCGATTCATCGCGAGGTTTAGAGCGATGATAGTGCGGGTCAGGAAAAAAAAGGAAGTGCTAATGTACCAACACACTGCCATAAGGCATCTTTTTATTCTCCATAAACATACAAATTGGTTCCATATAGCAAGTTAAGTTAAGAAAGATGCAAAATTTGCATTTCGCATAGAACACATTTGTACAAAGTACGCAGAACGATTACCAAATGGTCTTATATTTTATTGTACGTGTTTAATTCGTTAGATATGATTGCGAAACTATTTCGACTGGAATGTTCCACTAGCGGAGTGAGGGCAGTGGTTTTAGTGTCTTCCAATATAGCGCGAACGCTGATCTTAGGCCCCACTAAAAATCAACCCTCCAGTTTTACAATGCTCCACTTATAAACTATGCATATACTGATAACAAGCAATATAGGCTATTTTAAACCTTATTAAAAACTCCTAAATCCTCCCAACAGTCTTTCGATTAAACAAAAATATAATCTCGTAAATAACTACCTTCAAATTGAAGCAAATCGACTAGTGGGGTGCTGAAACGTCAAAGTCGCTGAAAACTTCCAACCGACTCGATATTTCACCACCCCACTATTACAAACCGACCGAGCTATCCTCAATTTACCCTAAGTTATACAATGGATCTAAATAACTACTATTCCTACATATCACAGGGCAATATATCAAATTGCTATACCTGAACATACGTAGTCGTAGTCCGGTTAGCTCCGGTCGCAAACGCAACTCACTCAAAAATTTAAGCCTCACTCCCTAGGAGGTGGAGTCCTTACTTTCCGGGGCTTCACCCTCTTCTCAGGAGCTCGTCCTCTCGCTCTCTGAATCCTTGTTCCTCAGCGACTTCTTCAACTTGTCCAACAATCTGTTGTGGAACTTGTTCAAACTCGACTGGGACCCGTTTTTCGGCGGCGACGACGCGGTGCTCTTGATGGGGCTCTGCAAACTGCTCTGCGAAGTCCTGGAGCTGTTCCTCGAGTATTGTCTGGACATGTTCGCAGGCACGCTGCGGTGGGTGGGCGAAGTCCCCATGTAGTCGGACCCGGGCGAAGTCGACAAGCTGGGCCCCTCGGACTTGCACTCGGACACTTTTCTTGAACGACAAGAAGAGGGATTCGAGCACTCGGAGACTCTGCGGGAACGATTGGACTTGTAGATGTCCCAATCGTTTTTAACAACAGGCATCATAAAGGCCATGGTTGCACTTGTTTTTTTGGATTCCCTGAAGAACGACGGTGAAGTTTGTAAACAAACACCAAGATCACTCTAGGCTTTGTACTTCTTGAGTAACACTTACACACGTGGATGGCTAAAGAATGCAAGTTTCAGCGTGTCTCAACACTTTTATGTCGATTACCGGCGTGCGGAGGCGATCCTGATTGGTCGATGTCGCCTGAAGTGGGGGACACACCTTACTGATCTTTTTTTTCATTGGCGACTGCAGCGCCACCAATATCAACAAAGCAACTAATCAATCATAGTGTTTATGAAAAATATCAAATCTTCCTAAATTGACTTGTTGTTGTCGTTTATGGCAGTTGCATTCCGTTCAAAATAAGTTTATGTATCAGAATTTGCCATTTGGTAAACAGATTACAGCAGCCTGTAAAGTAATTTATGTTTTGTTTTTACAGGTTACTTATTGATGTACTTATAAGTGTATCCAAACATTTAACGTCGTAGATTAAAGTTTTTCCATACATAAACTACGCACGCTAATTGTTTTCTTTGGCTCAATTCCAAGAAAATCTAATTTTAACTATTTTTTTTTAAGTTTTAGGTTACGCGCCATCTCTACGTCAGTAGACTAAACATTTGCATTTTTTGACGGATGACAATTTGACAGTTAAATTGTCATTTCAATAAGCAAAAATACAACTCAGAACAAAGTGTGAAATAGTGCAAAAATGTCGACAATTAACGATGTGGCGACTATTTACAAGCAACTAAAGTCAGAATGGAACAGTTCTAAACCTAATTTAGCAAAAACCGAACAGCTACTTTCGGAATTGAAGGTAAATGGAAAAAATGAGGTTATGTTTGTGATGATTTGTAACTTTCATTGCAGTTGGAATTAACAAATTTAATGTTTTTGCCCACCTCGAATGCCACTGCTAGTAAACAGGAGTTGCTTTTAGCGAGAGATGTGCTGGAAATTGGAGTCCAGTGGAGTATAGCGAGTAATAACATCCCAGCTTTTGAACGCTACATGGCCCAGTTGAAGTGCTACTACTTTGACTATAAAGATCAGCTTCCTGAATCGTCATTCAAATATCAGTTATTGGGTTTAAATTTGTTGTTTTTGTTGTCCCAAAATAGAGTTGCGGAATTTCACACAGAGTTAGAACTGTTGCCAGCAGAGAATATTCAGAACGATGTCTACATCAGGCATCCATTGTCTATAGAGCAGTATTTGATTGAAGGAAGTTATAACAAGGTTTGTTTGAAAATGAGTTGTGCACTGTCTTACATTTTCTTGTAGATATTTTTAGCAAAAGGTAATGTTCCTGCGAAAAATTACAACTTTTTCATGGATATTTTGTTGGACACAATCCGTGGCGAAATCGCCGTTTGTGTAGAAAACGCGTACGAGAAAATTTCACTGAAAGACGCTGCAAGAATGTTGTATCTACCTAATGAAGAGGCTGCAAAAGCATTTGGAGCTAAAGTAAAAAAAAAATTTCTTAGTTTCCTCGCTATAAACTTTTTTTTTTTTGTTTTAGAACAAAAAGTGGAAGTTGGGGCGTGATAACTTTTTCCACTTCGCCCCTGAAGTCAAGAAAACAGATGAACCCATCCCTTCAAGTGAATTGGCAGAACAAGCAATTGAGTATGCCAAGGAATTAGAAATGATAGTTTAATTTTTCTTATTTTTTTTTTATATTAAAATTTAGATTTAAATAACAGTTACGTCTTTGTACAGTCAAAATCGCTCCAATCCTTGGAAAATTCCAACACTCTCCTACTCTGTTCCTCAAACGACTGTTGTTTGGGTTTTCTCCATTTACTATGGTGCAAATCTAACATCCCACCAATAATTTCTTGCGCAAAGTTCTGTGGAAAAAATTTTTCGTCTTCAATCACGTGGGCGAACCCTTCTTCCATTCCAAAAGAAACAAAGAAATATGATAACCCTTTAGGGATAGCCCTGCGGACATCTCGTCCTTTCAAAGATACCAATTTTTTGTTTTGTGCCCACTCAACTTCACACTCGTCTATAGCTTTTTTAAAATATATAGGCGCCATATCTCCCTCCTCCTTATCAACTGAGATACATTCAATATACATGTGTGGATACCGGTTTAAATTTTTCGCAGTTTCAAAAAATATAATATCTTCGTTTTTTGAGGCGCACATTTTTGTGAGAGCCCTCCGAAAATTCATTATATCTTCCCATTCGTTCTCATCCAGTAATGTCGAACACGTCACGTGACGAATCGGCGTAATTAAACAATGACCTTGGGTTACAGGCTCGCATGTTGGCAAACTTAAGAACGCCGTCTCTCCTAATGACACCATAAGATGTTTGGGCATTGTGTTTGACTGTAAACATAATTTACAACTATCTATAGTCTGAGCAACCTTTTGGTGTTCATTAATGGCCCTGTTTATTTGTTTTTGGTCTGTTTTACTATCAGACTCTTTCTTTCTAATATTGTCTGCAAAAATATCTTCCATGTCGTCATTTTTCCGTATTTTTCCAGCCATTTTAATGAATTCTTTATTCTGATCTTCAACTGTGTTATATTTCTCATTTTCAAACATTTGTTGGAGAGAGTGTTTATCATCATCTGGAAAGTATCGTACTCTTTGACCATCTTGATGCGTTTCCACTTTCCTTTTCTTCTTGTGACCACCTGAATATTCTCCATAGTCAGACTGGAGTTTAACTGGTCTTGCATGTCCTTGAGAATCTGTCTGTGTTAATATAACATCCTCTCCATGTGTAGTCGGATTTTCACGTTGGTTCCTAGCATTTTCAAGCTTCTTTTTCAATTCTTTAGCCAGTTCTGTCTTACCCATGAGTTCAGCTTTTACTAATTTTGAAGCAAGAACATTCAGCTTTTTATCAGATAAAACTTCAGTTGTTTCTTGTGATTGTGGAGATGTTTCTTTTTCCACAACTGGATTTGTCTTCTTTTTCCAGTTGGAAGATGATTTAGGTCTGTTGAAAGACTTATACTTCTCTTCATGAACTTCATCTTCAGAAGGTTTTTTAAACTTGGGTAAACCATCTCCGCCATCCTTCCAGTAAGGATTTAGCTCTCTGGTGTGTTTTCTTGGATTATACTGCTCACGTTCCCGTTCTAACCTTTTATTTTCTTCCCGGTTCTTCCTTCTGTCAATATTTGATTCTGTTGCAAAAGACGTGGATAAAGACATCCATTCATCCCTTTTTTCAGACGGTGTGTTAATTTTTACTGGTTCTTTTTGTTTTTCTTGACCCTTGTTACTTTCGTCTGGCGACGAATAATCGCCCTTTTCGACCCATTCATCAAATGATGAAGATGAGCTGGAGCTGGATTTACGAGACCTGTGCTTTTTCTTTTCTTTGTGCTTTTTGTCGTGTTTGTGCTTCTTTGACTTTTCCTTGTGTTTTCCCTGCAATTTGTGAATGCTATTAGTATTATTAATCAAATATAAATAAAATCGTACCATCCTTATTTCGAGGTTAGCAAGATTGTAAATTCGACATTGACATTATTGACAGTCAATTGTGTAACATCTTCAACAAAAGTTCCCAAATTAATCGTCAACAAAAAACATGGCTACAGAAAGTGACAGCTCACAACTTTTGGAAAAAATCTCAAAATTAGATATAAAATCGTCGAAACGAAAAAATTCACTGGGGACGAATTCATCAAACGATACCCTGGAGTACGGCCTACCGTTAAAAGAAGTATATAAACTAGCCTTCAGTTTTTACAAAGGTAAATGAAAAGTGTGAAGGTTAGCATTTCCTCTTAATTTTAATTATTCCAGAAAAGGAAGGCAAGGCTGTCCATTTTAGCTATGAAGATAAATTACAGCTAGTAGCTTTTTCACAACAAGTCCTCCACGGTCCCTTGTCAGAAGCCATAAATAAATTACCCCCATTAGGAACTTTAGACGTTGTAGGAAAAGATAGACGGTTAGCATGGCAAAAATTAGGAAAACTATCAGCAGACCAAGCGAGAGCGGGGTTTGTGGAATTATTAAGCCGCCGATGTCCCTTATTTTCAGCCTATGTTGAAGCGCACAGGAGAGAAAAGAAAGACCAAGAAAGAAAAGCGTATGTGGTTGCTTTAAATCATCAAAACTCATAAATGTGTGACTATTACAGGAAAGAAGAGGAAAAACGCCGATTGATTGAGGAGGAAGAGAGGTTGAAGAAAGAAGAGGAGGAAAAGTTAATCCAGGAGCAGTTGACTAAAGAAGAAGCAATCAAAAGGCAAATTCAGCAAGCTTTAAACGAACAGACTTTTGACCAATTTAGAAAATATGCCGAGCAACAATTTCCCGGTGATCCTGAAAAACAAGGTGCCCTTATTAGACAACTGCAAGATCAACATTACATACAGTATATGCAACAGTTGCACGCTGCACAAAGAGGAGAACAAATTAAAAAGGAGAGTGATAGCGAGAAGACTGACACTGAATGGGTAAATCATTCACGTCGTTCTTTTCTTGTTTTTATGGAAACATTTTTAGCAAAATGATTCAAATGAAAACGGTAACTTGAATGACTCCAATCAAGAATCTTCCGAAAATACTTTAGTTCCTGCTAGTATGTGGACTCGCTCTGGTATTGATGTTTTCAAACAGGCGGTAGCCCAAGCTGAAGGTGATGGTGTGGTGAGGGTGGGGCATGGGGAAACTGTCACTGTTAGAGTACCGACGCATCCAGAGGGATCACGTCTATTTTGGGAGTTTGCAACAGATCACTATGATATTGGTAATTTTTATACAAAATTATATTGCACGGAAAAATTCGTTCATGGTGTAGCAAATATTTTTTTTGTTTCATGGCTTAGGCTAAGTTAGGACTGGCCGTTAGGGCTACAAAAAAATAAGTGGAAAATCATGCAAGAGATTTATATGGTACGTCACATGAATAGATGTAACAAAGATACGGCGCGGCGTTTTTGCACGTTTTTAAAATGTAAACACAATATAAAGTTGTAATAGTGGAAATTCAAACAAACTTGATTGAACACAAGAAACTAAAATATTTTTAACTATGTCGCTGTGACGTTTTGGATTTCTGCTTTACATTTAGTCAGCTACACACACACAAAAGCAACATATAAACGACGAATTAACGAGAATGCGAAAAGTCGCTTGTTACACTTTCATTTCTCTAAGGCAGTAATTCTGTTATGGTTATGTAAGCTTTGTTTATAAAGTGGCGTTTTACTAATAACTTAAAGCATGACACTTTTTGCAGTTAAGTCTTATTGGTTGTTAGAAATTCAATAAAAATTTTATATTTAAAATTTAAAAAATGGAAAAATACAATAAACTAAACCCAAGGAGCGAACGAAACTCGTGACTTTTATTACATTGGGTGCATGCATATCACTTCATTACATAATACCACAATTTCAGTGTATATTTTTGACTTTTTTGTGAGTGTTTATTATAATTACTGTGATTGTTGTAGGTTTTGGGGTTTATTTCGAATATGGCACTCCCACAAGTGATCAGGTTTCGGTTCATGTTTCTGAAAGTGATGATGAAGATTTAGAAGATATGGATGAGGATATCTATGATGAGGAAACTATACAGACTGGTGATTTAGAAGCGGGATCTGTTTCTGTTAATGGTGTTTCCAAACCCCTCCTGACTGAAATAGTGCCAGTATATAGGAGAGATTGTCAGAATGAGGTTTATGCAGGATCTCATCAGTATCCAGGACAAGGAGTGTATTTACTTAAATTCGATAATTCGTATTCTTTGTGGAGGTCCAAAACTCTCTACTACAGAGTCTATTACACCCAGTAATTTATTTTATCTTTGTATGAATTGTTAAATTTTTGAAGCTTGTGAAGTTTTCATTTTTATAATGTTAGAATATGCTTTGAGACACTTTTACAGCGTTTGTCACTTCAGGTGCTCTTTTTTATCTCCAAACTTTGTAAGGACAAGTATTGAACGTAATTTTTATTTTGTTGAATGTTCTCTTTTTTTCTAGTCTTGTTCTTAAAACTGAAAACTATTTAGAAAGTATTGTTAAGATAAAAAAGTCTGTGGTACCTAATGAAATAAGAATACATGATTTGTGCAATTTTTATGTTTATGTAGAATAAATAAAAAGTATTGTACAAATGAACCAGCTTTATTTCTTAAAAAAGAATGTAGATAAGGCACATGCATATCAAATTACTTAACTTAATACATCAAACCATCATGCAAAAATAAAAAACTTCATGGCGTTTTCTGCAGCAGCTCCTGGGAAAACATAGGCAAACTCCTCAGCTTCTTCACAATGGCACCACTGATCTCACCTGAACCTTTAGTGGGGCTTAAAATGAGTCTTCTTCTCAATTTTGGGTTCAGACTGGGTCTCCTGGGCACGCTCTCCATTGAACCCTGCTCCTTGCTCTTCCTCGCCGAGCTTCTGTCCAACTCAACAGGTGACCAGATGATGGGCTTCCTCCTGGGTCCTCTCTGAATTATAACCAACTCATCAGCACTCACATTCTTATTGGGCGTTTCTTCGTTAAGACTTTCGTTAAAACTAATTTCGGTCAGCGCCAGCCGGGCGGAACGCCTGGGTTCAACCCTTTCGTCTTCTTCCGCCATTGAGGGTGTGAAAGTTACCGTTATTAGCCCAAAAACCGTTATGTCTGACTTGGGGTTGCATCGGCCATTTCCCGAGACGCTTCAGGGCTGGATTTGGCCGGTTTTCGTTGATTTTTAACACAGATTTTCACTAAATTTAGTTTGTTAACCTATCGTGAACCGGCAACTGCTCGAGCAGGTTTCCCGGGCGCGCTAAATTTCCCTCTATTTTCTGGTACACGCGGTAACGACTTTCCCCCACCACTGGAACTAGAGGCCTCTGTCAAATCAGCTGATTAACCAGATGTTATTTATTTACCGGCTGTCAGATTTCACCGGTCAGCTGGCTGAACATTACCGATTTTGGATTCTCAGAAATGTGAAAGTGGAAATGGCAGTCGTCTATCTATTCTGGCCACTTTCGCCATTTTTACATAGTTATGTCAATCGTGGCACCATTTTTATTTTTATGTCATTTAAAAAGCACAGCCTACTGTGGTTTTAAATTTCACTCTATTATTTACTACGGAATTAAAGTTTTTATTTTCCCAATATTAATAATAAGTTACAACAATATAATAAAAACTCGATAAATTTAAATCTTAATTTGCTAATAAAATATACATTTTGCTGCTTATGTGCTCTCTAATAGCTTGCTTTGAGCGGCCTACATATCAGAAATCTCTTCTTCATCTCCACCTATGGCTTTCCAAAACGCAGTGACAACCTGCTCGGCACACTGTTTCCTCTGATTTGTAGGTAGTGACTGCAAACTCTCCTTCATCATACTCAGCTGTGCAAACAAATCGCTAAAGTCGTCAACTGGATCATTTGCGGGAAACTCATCGTGTTCCACGTTATCACTACTCGTTTCTTCACCTACATTTTTCTTCTGGCTTTTCATATTCATGTTTGACCAGGTGTGGGTTTGCAAGGCTTCCACCACTCTATCGACACCAATTTTCTCTTCGATTATGTCTTGTTCGCACGTTTGTTGCGCCGGGTACAACTCGATTAGTTCAAAGCCGCGTTGAAGACACCATTCTGTGGCCGCCGCTTTCGTAATTTTTGTGTCGTTTGTACAGTAGTTGGCAATTAAAAGTTTAATTTCGGGATCACAGTCGTCCTCTATAGCTGACCACTGAGTTAGATCTTGCAGCCCCGTTTCTTTGTTTGTGTCCATGTGAATTATTAGCGCTTCGACGTTGTCGTTGAAAGTTTGACTCCTCTGGTATTGTTCGTTTATACCTATTATGTCCACTTCTGCTGTGTAATATTTTGTTTCTATTTGCCAAGTGTGGGAGGTTCTGTTGGTATCAGTTGGGTCATCTTGGATGTCCGTACATTTCGTTATTAATTTTATTAAGGATTTGGGTTTTGTGTTACTACTGCTAACAATCACTACACTAGGTCTTTCAGTCATTTTTCTAACTTATGCAATAAGATATGGCAATTCTTGATTTTGAGTTTTGTTTGGTGGCTTGACAGCCGTACGTCAACAATCGTTGAGGTTAGGTTTTCATAACCTATTATGTTGACACGTGTTGTCACAATCTTACAACATTTTAGTTAATTGGGAAAAATGGAAGAGGTCGAAACGGAAAATCGTGTCAATTTTATAACGTGCATCAAATGGGTGAAAAGAGGAGTGGCAAGGGGTCAACCCGAAAAGGTAATTAAAAAAAAATTGTCCCTTTATACCAACATTTTTATTGTAGGTACAATTATCCAAAGCCGAGTTAGTTCAAGTAATTAAAGACACAAAGAAAAAATTAAGGTAGGTTTAAGTTCGTTTTGGTGTATAATGTAACACTGGAAGTTATTAGGGTCACAAATGAAGGAGCACCACAAGGGGAATCCTCAACACAAGATGAATTTAATTTAGAAAATTATGACGATGAAAATGGTAATTTATTAATTTGTAATTGCCTGGGAGTAACTATTTTTTTACTGTCGCAATTTTAGAGGAAGAAAGCACAGCTAGCGCGCTAGGAATCAGTTCTTTGGCTGATCTTCAAAATAATGCAGAAGACAACTTTTCTGAATCTGATGATTCAGACAAAGAAGATGAAATTATTAAACCTACAGATAATTTAATATTAGCGGGGCACGTAGAGGGAGATGCGAGTACGCTTGAAGTCTACAGTAAGACACTTATTTTTACATTTTTTACAAACACATGACACTATTTTTTTTTAAGTTTATAATGAAGAAGAGGAATCTCTTTATGTCCACCACGATATTCTTCTGCCTGCTTTTCCTTTATGTTTTGAGTGGCTAGATTATGAACCTAACGCCCCCAAGGGCAACTACTGCGCGGTTGGTTCAATGACACCAATTATACAAGTGTGGGACTTGGATATAATAAACTGTATAGAACCCGCATTCTCATTAGGCAAAACCGGCAGCGTGAAAAAAAATCGGGCTAGAGTAGGCCACAAAGACGCAGTTCTTTCATTGGCGTGGAACAAGAGTTATGAACATGTTTTAGCGAGTGGTTCTGTAGACAAAACAATTCTTTTATGGGATCTAGAAACTAAAACACCAAACACAACAATTACGGCGTTCAATGAAAAAGTTCAATGTTTGCAGTGGCATAAACTAGAAGCACAAACTTTATTAGCGGGTAATTTGAAAATATATTGGTGTACACTAGAAATGGTGCGATTTTTCCAGGCGCGTGTGACAAAAAGGCGAAAATTTTCGACTGCCGCAGCCCAGAGTCCCATCAAACGTGGGATATTCATGGTGAAGTGGAAACCTTAGTTTGGAATCCTTTGCAGCCGTTTTCGTTCTTTGCTGGGTCTGATTCAGGCCACCTCCAGTATTTTGATTGTAGACAAGGTATACTAATTTTATTTAACACATAATTTGTACTAATTATCATCGTTGTTAGGTCAACTGTGGTCAGTAGAAGCCCACGAGAAAGAAGTTACTGGTTTAGTGGTCAGTAATCAGTGTCCTGGTTTACTGGTTACCTCATCTCCTGATGGAGCAGTAAAAATTTGGGATTACACACAAGACCAAGTCACTTTTGTCCACGAAAAAGATTTTAATCTGGGACAAGTACAGTGCTTGGATTTATCGCCAGATGCGCCGTTCGTTATTGCCGCCGGTGGCGACAACAAATCCAACAATTTTTTGGTGCATGATTTGAGAAATATGGACGTTGGTAAGTTGAAATGGTCACAAAAATTTAGAAAGCAACTGATTTGGTTGAGTTAAATTTCACTGATATGGCAGCTCAGTTTCCAAAAATAAAAATAGTTGGCGTTCCGGTTAGTCATGATGTATTACCAGCAATCGGCTTATAATACTTCATATTTTGAAAATGTCGCAATTATGGAAGTATGCCAAGTTAATGTTATACACGTACAGGGTGGAACTTTACTTCCGTCAATTGTTAACGTCAGATTAAAAATTATACGAACAGTGTGTTATTTTTAATCTGGCAATATATCTACTGTTGATAGTTATGTTATGGCTTCTTTTTATCTTTTGTAATAGTTAATTTTTTACGGGCGTGGATAAAATTATGCAACATATTATACACAAATTAAAGGTGACGTTGATTATATTTTCAATTCAATAAAATGTACAAAAAAAAATTTTAGGTTGACGTTCTTTTTTTGCAAAATTGTTTAACACATATTATGAAATTGTCGGGTTAACTGTGAAACACTATTTTGGGTTGAGTGGATATTTTCACGCCCTTAAAAAATGAACTATAATATTATACGAGTTTTTTCCATTTAAGTAAATTGTTATTTTCATTATAAGTCAATATGACATTGAAATTTTACTTCATTTTTCTAGCAATTTCCATCAATATAATCAATTAATTTGTAATTTCAGTGAAAAACACATTTGGAACACGACAACTAGAAGAATTAGTTCCAGACACTAATGAAGAAAGTATGAACACTGATTGATTCCATTAAACCACAATGTAATTAAAATCACATTTTGTATGTTGTAAAGTATACAATAAAAACTATTTCCCAAAGAAATTTGTTTTAATTACCCTACCAAATCAATAAGGCACCTATAAATTTGCCTCTTGCTTGCCCAAAGGTCTAACTAATCATGAAACTTGTACGACGATGTAAGCATAAACCAATTATATTTTTTTTATTAGAAACAATGTGTGATTTTAGGTAAAGTCGTACTCCAGAGATTGCATTTCTGCATCAAAAAATATTACAGAGAAACCACTTTACATGGTTTTCGGTATATAACCGACCCAGATTCATCAAAATTTAAATCGTACTTCTGGACAATCGTCTGCCTTATTAGTACTGTCCTTTGTTTCATTTTAATTCGGTCTCAGTTTCGTTCGTACTATTCTAACAGGATAACGACTACAATACTAACCACCGCGTTTCCCATATGGGAGGTACCTTTCCCAGCTGTGACCATTTGCAATTTTAATTTAGTTTACCGCCACAACACGCATCAAATTAGAGCACTGTAAGTAGTTGTGTTTCGGAAAAATTAGGGTGAAGCCCCGGTCGTCGAATTTCTAGGCTCAATAAGCAAGCGACTCCAGATGCAATCGACAATTTCTTCTCAAATTTATCCTCACTGATATTGTCGAATAAACTCGACAAGGATATGAAATGGACCGAGCATTATTCTATCGTTAAAGTACTGGAACGTGCAGGTTACAACACTGAAAAAATAATGCATCAGGTATAGACATTTAAATTAATATAGATATTGAAGATAGAGTTTTAGGTGGCGCACCCGTGTCACGTTATGATCACTGACTGTTACTGGAACAATCAGGAAAAAAATTGTTCGACAATGTTTCATCTCGTCAAAACTAGCAGCGGATTTTGTTGTTCGTTTAATTACAGGGGGTTAAAGTAAGTTATTTGTTACAAAGGCCTTATTTAATTTATAAATATTAGGACTGACAACGAAGAAATTTTTGTGTCTGGTGTGGGCCCGTCTTTTGGTCTTTATATGCATTTGAACGTTGATGAAGATCAGTATATGTCACCTCTCAAACACAGTTCTGGGATTGATGTACTTTGATTGTCATTTTATGTTACAAGAAACTGACAATTATTTTTAGGTTTCTATACACGAAAATATACAATATCCGGATATGTCTGTTTATAGTACTACAATACGACCTGGTACTGATGTATCATTGTCTATTAAACCAGAAATAATCTACAGTGAGGAGGACGTTAAAGACACCCCAATTAAAACCAGAGGGTGTGCTTTTGCTGAAGAAGTAAGACCTACTTGTGTTAGATTTCGTTACTAGAATTTATATATTATTTATTATACGTTCAACATTGCATAAATTTATCACTATTGTCCAAAAACATGAAAGAATATTGATATTTAATCTTTTTTAGTTTACGACCCAAAAGATAAGTTTTCTTTTGTAGTATTATTTTACTGTAAAAATGAAAGGGTAACAATATTTCATTCACTAAGATTTCGATACCGAAAATTAATTTTGTTTATAGGTTCCAGTGGAATGGACTTCTAGTTATAGCTACACAACTTGTATTAACAAGTGTAAAGCTAAAGCAGTTTATACTCTTTGCCGCTGTATTCCGTATTATTATTACCCCATTATAGGTAGGTAAATGTTATAGGTATATTTTAATATTTTAGCGACAGAAAGGGTTTATTGTCATTAATAAGCATTTCATCAGTGTAACCTGTTCTAGGCACAACAAGATTTTGTACTCTTGCAGATATGGCATGTTTAACAAAAAACAATATTAAATTAATGAATCAAAAAGTTACTTACACAGGGTTTAGGGGTGGCCGTAAGTAAAGTTTGGGATTTAATAAAAAATATTTTTTTTGTATTTTTAGTGGTGGGTCTTTTTAAACCTTCAACGGATTCACTCAAATGTAAATGTTACCCCCAGTGTAATGAAATAACTTATTCCTATCAGCAAGACCAGCAACCAATAAAAATGTAATATAACTGATTTTCATATAATTTAATTTATTGTAGTTTTTTTAATGTTTTAGAGTGGATATTGAAGAAACCCAGCTGCAACCAAACGACAGCGTTCTTCGTGTTTACTTTGGACACGTTGCATGCACAAAACTGTTAAAAAGTGTTTTAATAACATGGGAACTCATTCTTGGTAAAGCAGCAAATAGTCACAATCAAGTCAAAACCTCGTGGTTTAGTTTTAAACAAAAATTTGTCATTTTTGAGATTCCAACGACGTTTTGACTTTCCAGTGATGAAATAATCAAAGCACACCCATATAACAAAATAATTGCAGCGTCTGTTGGTGGTTTGATCGGATTATGTCTCGGAGGTTCAATTCCCAGCGTTATTGAATTTGTTTATCACATATTCGAAGCTTTATTTTCACGATATGATAAAAATAAGAAAGCTAAGAAAGTAGAGAAGGCAAAGTATGAACCTAAGCTATATCTGAGCGACTTTGGTCATGTTCCTCAAGGGCCGCTATTTCAAGTGGCAAATGTGAAGCAAACCCTTAACAAAAACAAACGAATAAATATAAAGTAGGGTATAAAACTATAAAGTCTTTGGCACAGAACAGTCAATATAGTCTTTGGTGTGCACCTAATTATATATATAAATACATAGAGTTGAAAAAATAATTGCTTTACCTTGATCTCACTCAAATCAATGATTTAACATATTGTAATAATTGTTTCTCATATTATGGTTTTGTTGACTTTAAATGTTACTGATACCTGTAAACATACACTAAAATTAAAATTCAAGCTACCATAAAGTAAAGAGGTTATGTTTTGACATGCATGTCACTTGTTGGAAATGTTCTGGTCACGTGACTTGTTGTTTCAAGCCGCTTGGCGCTTTATTTAATTTATATGTAAATTGTAATTTATTCTGAACTTTTGTACCATAACTTCTCATTTAATCAAAACCATGTTACTATTACTTAATTAAAACACACCTTGTTGACAACAATTGCAAATAATGTATTAAGGCAAAAAATATTTGTTATGTAATAATTTCCTTGATTTATAGAAATATAAATATCTCATTATGTAATAATTTCTTTTGCTGAATTTATTATTTGCCGTTTACAACTTCAAACAGCACACACTTTTCACATTAACACGTCTTGTGAAATGGAAACATTCACTTTATAGTTTTTTGTGTATAATGTAAGAGTTGCATAATTATTGTAGATAATAGTTCTGGTTAACATTTAAATGACTTAAATACAATTTTCGGTGTTTTACATTGTTATTTAGTATTGTCTACTTTGAATTTTCATATCCCGCGGAAAAAGAGTACAAAAGGAACGTAAGCATCAAGGTCCCATGGTGTAATGGTTAGCACTCTGGACTTTGAATCCAGCGATCCGAGTTCAAATCTCGGTGGGACCTAGTTACCTTTTTTCATTTGGTTTCTTTTTTTTATATTGGTATTCATTAATATATTGTATGATGGCAACACAAACTGATAAGATATCACACATATATTTTATTTAGTGTAGATATCATCAAGTGTGTGATAGATACATCAGTACAAAATAAATTGTCTTTAGAGACATTATGCTCTTGTGCGTCCTGTGAAAATTAAGACATTGTTTTTTACATGTGTATTTTTTGATATAAATCGTTTATTCTACGCAAAATAGTGTGCTTGTAGAAGAAATTAGAATAGATAAGAAATAGATAGGTAAGTAATGGAACTAAATAAATAAAAGTTTAAGCAACAAATTCCCAGAACTTACTAAACGACCGCCTTATACGTAATTTACTTTATTTGTTCGACTCATCGATTACTGTGAAATCCTCTTCTGGTTTTAACGTTATATATCATCATTCCTTTTATGGTGTTAATAAATAGTCAAATTTTAGATAGCGTTTCACCACTTTTACTTCCCGAGCGTAAGCAAAGGAAGTATTGTAATCGAGTCCGTCGGCCGACTCTCTACTTTTACGTTTTCTCGACCTTTCATGACCCCTAGAGGACGAAGAAATAGGTCTCCCGTTTCCGTCTGTCTGTCCGTCTGTCTGCCGTCCCGGATTTTTATTAGACAGATAATCTCCGAAAGTACTGAACCGATTGTTGTGAAATTTTGTACTTATATTAGGAACATCATGTAGATGGTAAAACGCTAACCAAAATTTGCCTAATCATCCCCACTACTAATGCGATGCCGTCACTTCAAAATAGTACATAGTAAATGGGCTTTAAATTGTATAAAATAACATAATCCTGAGTTTTTACCCGAATCGTCCAGATTTTTGCAAAAAAAAATCAAAACTATGAACAACATTTTGCAATTTAATTTTGAATCTAGAAAATCGAATGCTTTGAAATCTTGCAGACGGTTTACAGTTACGATAAGCATGATACATTTTTAATCAAGATATATTTACTTATCCCCTCCAAAAAATTGATAACGTCAGCTCAAAAGTTTGCCGAATAAAACCTATCTATAATGTACAAAATATGATGAGTCTGTACTTGTGATTTATCATTCCATTCACATTTTTGGATTTGCATGTACAGCTGACCCAAAAAAATTAATGAATGCGTAAAGTTATTTTATTGATTTACTCAAGAAAACCGAATGCTTTGAAATCTACTGCGAAAAAAAACATAATAGGTATGCAGTCGTCACGTTTCCGACAGCGAGGGAAGTACTGTCTAAATTCTTTAGACCAATTTTTAAATTTTAAAGTCTGTATGAAATGATTTGAAATTTTGGTGTAGACATTTAAACCTTTCAGGGATTAACAGATCAGTGAATTTTCAACAGGAAGAATGTGCAAACGAACATGCAGGATAAATCAAATCTAAGAACAAATTCATTTTTGTTGAATTGACGTCTTTAAATTTTTCCAAAAATTTTCTTTGTTCTTTTAGACAAGGCGTGTGTTGAAAATTTTAATAAGTACTAAGTACAGTCGGTTGCATTAAAAACGGGACAAGGACAGACGTTTAATTGTCATTTTATATTATATTTTTCAGTGTGAATGTCAGTATGTCAATTCTTGTCTCATTTTTAATGCAACCGACTGTAAGTAGATCAGCTATAAAATTATGATAGAATATAGCCTGAAATTACTTTTGAATTAATGCTTTATGATCAACAATCACGCCCTCGGTTCATTTGTAAATTTTTAAATTCGAGTGATTTCTTGTACAGCAGGAAAACTGTTGCCAAAAATATGAACATTAAAAACAGATTCGCTTACATATTATAATGAATAAAAGGCAAATTTGAATTTTTGCGTCTATGAAACCATGAAACCATATTGACCACAAGCTACTTTTTTGAGGATTTTTGAAAAATAACATTTTTTTTTCTCATGATGGGAGCGTGATAAAAACTACATTACTTTATTCACAGAGTTTTATTTAGTCTCTTTGACAGTGAATTTTTTCTGCTACGATATTTTAAAAGTGACACTTTCTGACCCTGCAGTTATTGCCAAATTTTAATAGACAAGACTTGAATTATAAAATAGAGGAGGCCTGAAAAACGTCACTGATTAGTTAACAATAAGTCACTACAGTCACTATAACGCTGTCAAAAATTCGTCATAATGTGAAGTCGAAGTGTCAAATTCTTGTAAATTATCCCTTTTTCGGTCATCCTCATTAAGCTCTTTCCCGAGGTGCAATCCTAGAGACGCGTAAGGTAGATACAGTGCAACTTTTTTCCCGAAATTTCGTCGTAAAATTTAAATACCACTCTGTCGTATGAGCTTTACATAGTTTCCTCAACAGTCCGCTCTGTTAAGATACCCCCTGCTACTAAGCCCCAAGTCCCCTCAGAGTTTGCGCTAACGGCCAGCGACAATCAACTGTGCGGCTGCAGTCGGGCTCGGGCTAGTGGGGAAAAGTGCGCGTCAGGTCGTGTGCTTTTGCACGACTGAATTACATCTGTCGAACGAACGCATTGCAAAACGAAAAATTAGTATAGCAAAAACCCTGTGCATTTAACGATGATCAGCACCGACGGCTACAATAACGTCGATCAGTTTTCAGACGGCTACATGGAGCAGGAGGAGGAATGGGAGCGCGAGGGCCTCCTCGACCCGGCTTGGGAAAAGCAGCAGAAAAAGGTGAGTCCGTCCCTGCCCACCCCGACCTAACCTCCGAACGCCCAACCGTAACCCTATCTCTACCTATTTTTGGCCGTAGCCCTAGTCATGATGTAAGACCGTACGAGAAATACTACGGCCAGCTGCGAAATTAGACCGAAATTGTGAAACGGGATGAATGGGCCTTCCCGGGGGCCGGGGCGACCCCCGCTCGGCCCTGAGTCCGTGCCATTTTTCAAAATTTTGTTTTTTTGCCGTTGGGTTGGCAGCTGCGCATAGGGACGCCTGCGAAAGACGGCTGACGGCGCCCAAGTGGGTGCGAGCGAGAGAGGTGATTAGGCGTCGGATTTCCCGACGTCGTTACCAAAAATGGTTTCGGACATTCCAGGACCGAACTCTATAGCGTAAACATCGCACAGGGCCGATGTGGAAAAGGGTGACGCGGAAATCGTTGAAGGGGGGAGGTTTTCAGGGAAGCACCAGATGGGGTGGGAAAAACGCCTGTTACGTCATATTTAGAATATGTTGTAACAAGATCTGTTTACGTCATTTGGGAGGAAAACTGTATTCGACAAAGTACGAGAAACTAAAATGATGACCATTCAAGTCGTGAAACTTTTCATGATAATAATGTTCCTTATAAATCGATTTGATGGGAGTAAATTGACTCTGAAGTTGTACCAGATGACGACAATAATTAGAACTAATTGTTGTGTTCTGCATATGATGCGTACGCTTATAGTAACACTTCAGAAATTTTATTATAGTATTGTTCTCTTCACGTTCCAAAGATTTCCAATAAGGGAAAAACGATGTACACCTAGTTTCTGTGAAAGCATTGTAAAGTTAGATACGGAGACCTAATACTTATTGGCAGAAAAGAAAATACTTAAGTAAGTGTTATTTAAGTCAAAAGTCAGTATATTATTTGTAAACATCCATAACTTAGGCAGTTTGTTTGGTAAATTTAGAAAAAAAACTTCTTATTAGACATAGAGTCGTCTCGCACGATGAGCTCACATAAGTATATTTATTTTTACAAGGTGACGTTTTATTATTTCAGAGTATGATACACAAACTTTACCCTTTTGATCTTTTGCCGTAATTCAGTTCTTTAACATCCTCAATCAAGCTACAATGTTACCTTATTTGCTATAAATTCCTGCTGAATTTAGACTTTTAGGTTTAGGTAGATTGACTCTAATTTGGTTGAGATAAAGTTCATTGACAGGCAGTGTAGATTAAGCTCAAAATTGGTCTATTTATATGCCATTTACAAAATTAAGTAATATTTCGGTACGATAAGTTCGATATCCATTTTCCTCTGTCTTCCAACAAAAACGAAAGTTTTGTTGATGTACAGAATTTATTCATTCCACACACTTCTATTACTTTCTTTCACTCATGGATTAACTTATAAATGAAATAAGCACGTGTTCAGGGCATCAACGATCCGGAAATCAGGTGGAAGTTTTTCAAAAATTTGAAGCATTTGTTACGTGACATTTACAATACTCTACGCAGGATAGACAAAGTCCAAATAACGGAAATGATGTACGTTTGAACTGTGAAAACTATGGCCTGTTTATGTCACAAAGCGCTACTGCAGGAGGTTAAAATTTGACGAAACTAATTGCGGGAAGTGATATAAATACATTTCATCACTTGAACTCTCTGTGATAATAATTCTAGCTACTAATTCAATTTGATGGACTTCATATTGACTCAGAACTTTTACAAGTAGGCGACAATTATTCTAACTAATTGTTTTGTTATGACTACGAATATGTACGAGAGTTAATTAATAAATAAGGTTTGTTGCCTTTTTGTACGTAGGGGAGTTGGTGAGAGATATAAATCCATCATGATTCCATTACTCAAAGGTTGTTTTGATTTTATTTTGAATTTCAGCGGTTTTTGCAAAAAAATCCTCTTAATTAAACTGAAAGGAAAGAGTTTTTAACCAACTTGTACAGACATAAATTTAACTACAGAATATCAAGGTAATTCGAAACCGTACTGCAACAAAAAATTTTCGTTACTCAGTTGCACTGCAGTGGATGTTTCATATAAATAGTGTTATCTTGTGTTATTTTAGAGATATTTACATTTTTTTACTAGATTTGTTTGTATTTAGCGATATTATTCAACAAAGTATTATAAATTGTGTTAAAAAAGGTTATTACAATTGTAGAATAATACCAATTAATCCCCCTTGGGCACCAATTTGTGGACTTAAATAAGGTACCTTTGAAATTACAATGACGACAGGTACAACGTGTTAATCCTTGCAAATACGATAAAATGCAGACACAAATTCCTGGTCAAATAAACTCTAAATGCATTCGTCACCGAAGCTAAACATTGCAGCTAAATTTGTCACAGACGTTTTTTTGCAGAAAAATTGCCTCGTTGATTACAAGATAAATAAAAAGAATAGACTGGGAATAACATTGTCAAAAATGATTGACACATTAAAGTGGATGTTTACGGTTGCCACTTGTTCAAAACAAAAATTACCATCAGTTTGTCAATTCACTACAGGTAGTAAATGTGAAGAATTGGAGAAATTTTCAGTGGTAGGATAATCATACAGGATGTCCCATTGAAAACTTTCTCTACTACAGCCACCTCCACGAATTATTTTTTTTGTATTAAAAAATCTAACAGTATGTAATAATATAAACAATAATTAATGAATTAATTAGATGACTGAAAGTTATTCTTGGAAATCTTCCGTTAATTAAACTCGAAATAGTCGTGACAGATGGTAGGCACTCAATTCGATGCACTATACTTTTTATTTATTCTTCAGTTCCAATGTTGCTAATTGAATTAAAAATCAGCCTTATTACTTATATTGAACGTACATGTTTTTTCAGTTATTGTTTTGGCAATTCATTTTCGCTTAAGATCTTTGAAAAAGCAAGCTAGTATGACACTCACTTTTGATATCTCGTTGCAAAAACAAGCTAAATGAGATTCATGAATGCGAAAGCTTTGAGACGATCTGCCACCTGATAGGTAGTTCCATTTAACAAAAATGAGGTGGTGGGCGTAATTGAAAAATAACGAACAGAATAACAGAATAAAGTATAGTAAGTTAAGTTTTTTTGTAGAATATTTTTGCCAGAAGTTTTCAGTGGGACACACTGTCTGTAAAAGTGGGCGTTAACTATTGCCACCTTTGAAACAAATTATAACCAAATTGTGAAGCATTACATGGCAGTTTATGAGTGTAGTGAATGTTACTAAAGATGAACGGCAGATTTGAATGAACAGTTTGACCACAAAACACACTTAATACATTTCATGCATATGGATTTATTTGATTTCATGAAGTATTTGGTCGTGTGATTTCGACGAAACACTTATAAAGATGGATTTAATGTTTACCTAGAACCGAATTATGCGTCATTTGGTGTAAAATCAACGCCTGACATTTATCTTCAATGTAATCAGTAGCGACAAAATAAATAGGCAGTCAATGACACAAACTCATATCTATATTGTATCAAAAATCGAAAAAAATAACGTAATGTTTCTAATCTTGAGAATTTATTGTGCGCGGGTGCGCGCATCGTGTTGTATCGTAAATCCTCAAAGTTCATCCAGACTTTTTCAGCAAAAGAAGGTGCACCTATTTGATTTCGTTCACGTTTTCCAACTTTCGTCCCACGCTCGTACCAAGCACAATACTTTGAAAAATCTCCGACCTATCAAATCGCTCTTCCATCTTCGTGTCCAAGTGGGCGATATTCCGTTGTCAACTTGAAAGCACGGGCTGGTTCACGGGACATTGGCTCGTGGCTCATATTCAGTAACGCGAAACCATTTCCCGACGGTGTCGACACAAATCAAATCTAGACGTTGAGTAAGATATCTGCCGGTGAAGACGGCGTCAACGACGCCTTCAACGTAACGATAAAAACGCGTCGGCGTCGCCAGCTAGCCACTATTTTAAACACCACCCACGCGCTTCTACAAGATAGTCTAAATTTACTTCAATTACATTTTTTATTAGGAACGTCAAACTTTGGAAGGTGTGTATTTAACCATTAAGAAAATAATTCCAACACATGTTGACGCCGGTTAACACGTTCACAAAGGACTATTTAGACAAGGAACCACATGTCTCAGTGGGGGATGATAGCGTTTAATGGAGAGACGAGTGTTTTTTATTTGAGGAGACGGACTTAATTTTGGAACAAGCGTTTCGAAAATATATTGTCATTGGGAGCTGCTACAAACAAGTCGTTTGACTTCTAATGATCACGTCTTATTAGCAGGTGGATGGGTTAAGTTGAAATCAAGAATAAGGAAAGTATTGATACGTTATCGGTGGGTGCGTGAAGCGTCTGCACAAATATTTATTGTTATTATATTGATATGAAAGGTCAATTGTTACACACCAATTCACAATGTTTACGCCAAAATTTGTGAATCGATTTTCGTGGTGTAGCGATACGTTTGTTCAAATATGTGTATTTGTGTACAAGTTGCTATTATTAGAAAAGCAGTGAGTGAAGCAAATAATGACTGTTCTGTTCGGGTTCATGTGAAAATTGATACTGTGATCTTATGATTAAAGTTAGCAATAGTACATCTGGGGAATAGGATAAGTGTGTCGACGTTATATCTTTAAATGACAGCGAAATACATAAATCATAAAAGTATTAACTCTATTTAACCCAGTTTTACTGGACTGATTACGTCCACTTTGCTGTATCATTTACATTCTGCCACAACAAGATCGCCACATATTAATTATGATATTTCCATTTTTCTGTAACAAAACTTGTTTGGTTTAGACTAGAAAAGCAAGAACTTGACGAGACAAACTTGCTGTATTTGTCGATGATTATGCTGAATTACAGGATGTCCCTTGATAGAAGATGTAAAATTTTCTAGTAGTTGTTAAGATGGAACTTGGTGAATTTGGAACGTTAGAATTTCCCCATAGAAGGCGATTAATATTTTCCTTGAACTGCGATAATAACAATGTAAAAACTGTCAGTTGT